AAAACGTGATTTTCCCACTGAACTTTCCGCACTAAGATATGTAGGACAGCTGAACCTTGACCTTTAGCCAGCGCGCCGTACCACACCTGGTCAGGCGGAGGGATACAAAAACAGAATTACACAGGAATTGTGACGTCTCACGCATATTTCGTTGTATCATCATTCGCACACGTGCTGAGAGTGTTCAGTGTTAGAAGTGGTGCTAGTGCGCGGGTTCCCAACTTATGGGTTGCGGCGTCAAATGGGCACTAAAAGGTTTTTGTGTGGAGCAGTGTTGGTGAGAAAAGAAGATGTTTTAATAGAAAAAAAAAAAGAACAAATAATGTTATACTAATAAATGCTACTTCGTGTGTTTTCATTTACCCTGTTAGACAGCAAAGCTTTATGTATATACTAGTTTGCGGTACGTATATACTAGGTTGCGGTACGTATATACTAGGTTGCGGTACGTATATACTGGGTTGCGGTACGTATATACTGGGTTGTGGGTCACTTTTGCCATAGAAAATGGGGCCACGACTCGAAAACACTTTGGAATCGCTGGGCTAGAGCGCAGAATTCCATCCCCCTGTAGCAAGCGCACTGACACAGAGAAAACATAGGAGAAGGGGAGCAGCGTTGTCACTTTGGATGTTTTACATCCAGATTTAGATGTTTTCCCTTGCATTTAGATTTTTATGCATATTGATGGCGTTTTTGACGTTTAGATGGTAGATGTTTTTCTAGAAGTATTTCATTTGAAGTAAATTTATAAAATCTAACCTAAGAAACAGGATGAAATTTGACCTCTTAAATGCTATCTTGACAATAAAATTCGGCCTGATAGGAGTAGGAAAAGGCTGTTCCACTTATCAGCTCCCTGATTGGGTATTGAAAGAAATTGAAACAGCTAAAGCATACCAGAGTCATTTTGGATCTGAAGCTTCAACTTCATCATCCAAGCTAAGTTTATCCTATGGATCTTGTAAGGTCGACTTCAGTAAAGATGAGGACATGATTCTATAGGGTAAGTCCACGGCCTTCTCTATTTATATGCCCAACAGGTCAACGGGGATTCCCGTTCTTGTGCAAGAATTGAGTCCCTCTGCGTCCACAGTTTTTATCGAGGAGATGTATACCCAAATTAAACTAGTTTTATTAATTTTCGACACATTGTATAGAACTATACGTCATTTTAAAGGTAAATAAGTGTACCAATTAAATGTAACAATAAAGGCTCTTACAGACAAACAAAAATGCTTTTGCTACAGTAAACATGAACATAAACATCAATAACGTTTAGATATAAACTAAAAGTTGTTCCAGCAAAAGTAAAGAAATATCAGTGCTAACTCTTTGATTCTGAGAGGGTATTTTGCATCAGAGGAGCGGGGGGTAATGGAAGGGGAGAGGGGGGGGGGTGACATTTGTACTTTATCAAATTTAGCGCATAAAATACTGCTATGAAACATACACATGTCATACATAACATAAATATAAATGATTGACGGTTAATATTATTATTAGTAGACTACTACAACATATGATTATATTGTTATTTAATAATTAGTAAACAAGCACAATCAGTATGAAATTGATATGTGCAATACTTTTTTCCTTCAACGAAAAAAACTTATATCAATGGACTAAGAACAGTCAAAACTATAACTGTTGGGGAATTTTGTCAAAGAATAAGTACAATTTTTTACTATTACTAATTTGTCAAGTAAACAGGCCCTGAAATGGAAAACAAACGGTCTCAGAGGAAAAAGAGGGCACCTGTCACGTGCCTGATTTAAGGATTTCTTCTTAAGAACCAACAGCACTCTGAAATAATTATGTTGAGTCGTTGGCTCGTATTGGTCTAAGGGATATCCCGTGGCCAATATACACTCAACTTATTTCAGGAGTAGGGCAACTCAAGCTTTGGTACTACAAAATATATAATATTCCTAGGCACACTTGGCTGGACACCCCCACTAATATAAAACGGTAGCCCTCAGGTTATGATAGTATACTATCATAACCATGTTAACACAGATAACATTTATTACTCACACAAACATCAAAGCTAGACAGTTAGAATGGTGAAACAGGGACACCCAAGTCAGCCATGAAAATGTATGCATGTAATCAGCACAATATATACATATAATAATGAATACATAAACAAGAGGTCAGTGAATGGAGCTCAGGAATCAACGACAAAACCCAGATATTGAAGCAGCCGCCAGATTTAGCCTTGAGGTGAACATGAGTTCATCATAGGAATCATAAGGTGCTGTGGGAAGAGAGCATGAATTTAAATAATTGATCACTTATCCCAGCTCGTAGGTCAATGCTCCCCTCAGTCCATGGTGATTCGACTGTAGTTGACTCAGGTATCTATGCCTCGATTTGATCTGGTACCAGCTGAATGTCTCACCGGTGATGACACAATAACTGCATAAGAGCCTAACAAAGCTATTGAAGACTGGATCTCTGGATTGATGACATAGGTGTCTGCAATTGTCCACTGGTCCTGGTACTCACAAACAAGCTCTTGTCATGTTAAGGTAGTGGCATATACAGGACTTTGGGGTATGCTTGGTGCCCAGAATGATATGGGTTGGTGGTGGTTGGCTGGACTGTGATTCGTCTGCCTGATCTCTAAGGAGGTATCATCCTGTCAGGAAAGAACTCAGAATTAATAACCAACCTTATTTACACCCCAGCTCACCCCCTCCCCCCTCCCCACTTAGCTACCCTTTTCCATTCCTCAGAGTGTAATTCTCAAGAACAGGAGACAATGTCTCCTTTCATTTATCTGTCTGTAAATAAGTGCAACAGATATAAAACAAGGTATATAGTGGAGATAGATAGAAACTACCACACATAGATCATCCTCTCACCACCCTCACATCTGCACTCGCAGACATACAATGTATACAGTTAGTACCCATATATATTTCACGTCTCCACAGGCTGCTCACTACACACCCACTGAATCTGTGTCAAACACACTTTCGACTCAGAGCGTCTAACTCTGACGTTACATCCGTTACTTTAAAAGATGACCTAGACTCTGTATTTCTGCTAGGAGGCACAAAACTACGTTTGTCTAGTCAGAGAATAATTACTTGTAGGGTTTATTATCTTTACAAATGGTGTGGGTTCTGTAGAGCTCAAACTAATTAGTCTGCACAGGGAAAGGTTTAATGTTCGGAGCATGAGCTCTGGACATCAAGAAAGGCCCAACTCTGTGCGATCACACAGCTGAATCTTCCCTCTCTGCAGCAGTGGCCAGCTTTAAAAAGACATATATTATGGTACTCGTAAACTATAATCAACTTACCTATGCTTAGGAATTCTTCCAAGGTAGAACTGGAACTTAGAATGCGCTAATTTCTACATACACTTTAAACACGTCTTGACACTTTGGGATCAGGCGAAAGAATGCCTTCTCAAAACCAAACTTAGCGTCTCTAGGAAAGAAGTCCCCTGTATTCATGCCCAAAGAGTAAACCGGCTTACAGGAATTTCTGAATTAAATACCAGAAATCTTCAACCTTCAGTTGCAAGTTTGAAAATGAAGATTTATCAAAGCAACTAGAGGGTCTAGAAATGAATATTTCACCAGATATAGGTATATATCAATATAAGGGACTATATACCCTTCCGGACGGGTTTAAGTTTGAAATTTGACTGTCCGCGTAGGGAGTTCAGATTCACGACTCGTCCATCGTGTAGGGTTGGCTGCTCAGAAGAACATTAATACGAAAGGCAAAAGTGCTGGTGTGAACTCCACGTCAGAAATCCAGAAAGTTAGTTCCATGCTACAGAGAGTAGGGCAAGAAGCAAATGCGAGCACTGAGTGACGTCTAACGGCACATACAAGATGTTGAATATTGAATTAAGAATCGACATCACAGCACTCGGGACACACTCATAAGTGCTCCGTCTCCAACTTCAGCAGCAAGCGAAGAGTTCCAATTCCGATGGCACCAGTAACCGTCAGATTGTGTATCCCTCCCATCCTTTCCCTGAGTGTTGAGCGTCGGCCAGATCCCCTGATAGCTCACATAAATGATGATGACAATGATGAGGAATGTATCAAGTGCCGTCTGTACCGATAGCAGACATATGCTTCAGATATGTGCTTTCATAAATGAATGTTTCCAATACCTTGGATAGACAAAATACTGAAAACGATTCGTAGAACAGTTGAGTTGAGTTGGGTCAAGAATGGACATCACAGCACTCGGGGCATTTCCATGCGTGCTCCGTCTTTATCTTCAGCAGCCAGCGCAGCGTTCCAGTACTGATGGTACCGGTCACAATCTGGTTATAATTCCGTCTTGCCTTTCCTCTGAGTGTAGTGAGCCGGCCAGACCCTCTATTCACAACTAGATGCCGCATTCTCTCCAGGCTTAGACAGACAGAATACTGAAAACGATTGTTGAGGAAAGGCAAATCAAAGTAAAACAAAGGTTCGGCGGTATCTTTTCCACTTTCCGGGAACCGCCGTGGTGCAGCGGCCCGGCGTTCGCCTGCGGATTTTAGTGTCGTGGACTCAAATCTGAATGGAGCTGGACTTTCTTCAAAAAGTCTTGGCTGCCAGCTCGACTCAGCTTTAAATTGGTACGAGGTCAAAGTCCTGCAAAGCACAGGCGACCGGCGTGATATTGACTACATCATCCACAGCATGCCGATTGGTCTCTAGAATATAGGTCTAGCCCTATATGCCCAAGACCGCTAAAGTCAGGGAAAAGTGTCCATTACTTTCTAGTATCCAGGCGACAGTGTTATATTACGCTTCTTTTCTTCTTCTTCTTCTTCTTCTTCTTCTTCTTCTTCTTCTTCTTCTTCTTCTTCTTCTTCTTCTTCTTCTTCTTCTTCTTCTTCTTCTATTTCTTCTTCTTCCTCCTCTTCTTCTTCTCTTCCACCATTTACTTCATCGAGATGTTGGTGGGAGATGTAATGATCGTTTGTGGGCTTTTTCCAAAGCATTGTACAGGTTGGTTTTCATTTTTGTTAGGTTGCTCCTGATGATGTTGCTCCATCGCTTGCGTGGTTTTTCCGTTGCTCTGTGTTTCGCTTCTCTGTGGCAGTTGGTACCAGGGCATTCTCATTAGGTGACCAAACCATCTAATTTTCTTTTTTTTTTGGAGAGGGTTAACTGTGGCATCCTGCGCTTACAGCCGACGCCTGTGGTTTAGGGGTACTTAGACTGTTGGTCAATCAGATATACCCGACTTTATGCAGCTATATGCAGTGTGACAGCAAACCGCTTTACGCGGATTTCGACAATGGGAGGGAGCGTCAATCGTACGGTGGCAAACTACTGAATTAAAAATGGAAAAGACAACCCATAAACAGTTACACGCACACACACACACACACACACACACACACAAACTGTAAATGAGTCAAGTCAAACTGGTCCTTTTCACGTTTGCCAGCCCATCTACACCTTTTCTCAGTCGTGTCTAGGTCAGAGGGTTGTCAGCTTGTATTGTTTTCTACGAAAAGAGTCTCTCGTTGGACCTAGGCTCAGGCTGTGGGTAGAGGGGTTAGGGCTAATTCTAAATGTTCTTGGTTCGATAAAAAGCTGTGTCGTCGTGTAGTATAGAACACGCGACATCGGCGCTGATGTAATTGGAGGCACGTTTACGTGACACCCCTAATACGTAGAACATTCTGAGAAAATAGAAGGTAAGGTCAGCCAGTGTGTATATAGGGAAACGTAAATAGGACACAAACAGTAACAACCCTATAATTTTGACCTTCCGGAGAACTACGGTATTCCCGTGTTTGAGGTGAATACAAAATTAAAGAACCCGAAAGGGGAAAAAAAAGAAATCAAGAATGCTTTTCTTACAGGTGTGTGAAGCTGAAGCATATTATCCAGCGGCTGTCTACAAGTGGAGGTGTAATTAACAAGTTCACGCCCGACTTCTTCTTTGTAGCGACGGAGCCGCTTTCTGACCCGCTTGTTCGTATCCATGTTACTGTTACGCTTTTTCCATGGACGAACCTAGACACAAGAATCAAGGGTCAGTTCCACGATAATCGCCCTACGGAAACTAAGTCACCTTCCATTCATACATTTTTTAGACTAATCTGCTGTCCGGCGGGTTCCGCTATGTTGTTTCTTTTCTGGCTTGTCTTGCATTTAAGTTTTTCTTCCGAAAAAGAACATGCCTGTGACATGTGTGGCAACACTCTCTAGGGGGATTGTGTGTTAGACCTAGTTTCTAAATATTTTTGTAGTGTTAAAAGCGCTGGCGTGCTTGAGTATATTACACGCAATATCAACGGCATCGTCGAACAGCCCCGTAGCAGTGTGCGAAGGTCGGGTGACTGCAGGTCGACCAATCAGAAGTGAGCTAGTGTGTAAATGGGTGGTCCGTGGGGAGATTATCGTGGAACTGACCAAATCAAATTGAACATTTACAGGGGGGATATTCTTCTTTTTTCTTCTTTTCGTTCTCCTTTCCCTTTGGTTTTCAGATAAAAAGGCTTCAGGCCTCTATGAGGTCTGTCGTACAAAGCAAGGACTAGCCTGACAGGGTTCACTACATCCATCAGATACCGGCATTGGAGAGATGAGTTGCTTTGTGTCGTGGGTTTTCAGCTTCGGCTGTAACACCGTTCCTGACCGTCTGGTCTTTCAGCCCGGCACCTCCGACTTTATGAGCTTAATCTGTTCGGCTTATAAATTATTACAAAGGCGAGGCCGTCAACTCCACATCTCAACGCGCAACGTGCAAATAAAACGGCTGTGAATACTTACAACTATCTGTCGCTAGTGATGACCTGAAGTCTTTTTAATATTCTCAGTTGTTCATTTTACATAAGAACATCGTTCGGAGGAGACAGTAAAGAGTCCTCATATTTATCATTTCATCCATTCTATGCTGATATTTTGATATGTGGTTTCGGACTGGTATCTTACAGTTTTATATTACAATAAACATATTTCTCTCACCTTCGTTATAGCGTAAAAAGGAGGTTTCACTGTGGATGGTAGGCTAAAACTAATTCATCTGCAGTGATAAAAAGCTCTTGCTGGTTTATACAAAATGTAGGTAGCATTAACTAGTATAAGGGAGTGGACAGGGGTCTTCTTGACAGAGCTAACACTGCAAATGCACTGATGGGTCAGGACCTTGTACCATACTGGCTTAAGCCTCGCTGCACCAAAGAGACTGGAATCGGTTTATATAATACTAATTGATGTCTGTCTGTACAGTGATGAGGTCTATCTTACTGATAATGAATGAGACCTATCTATGGCCGCCGAAAGGATTATTACATACTGGAACAAGTCTAAATAACCCGCTCTCCCACCAAACCTACATACATTGACACACAAATCAATAATGCCATAACTGTACATTTTTAATTGCACTCAAGCATACTTGCAAATATATACACGAAAAGAGTACAGATTTTGCTATGCACGAAAAGTATAGAACATATATCCGGTCATCTTTTTCATTTAAAAAAAAATGTGGGTTTAAAAATGATTTCTCTTCATAGCGCTTAGAGCTACCTGGGCCCCGCAACACTGTGCCGCCTGCACATTCTCTCCCTCCCCTCCCTTCTACTCACGCCAAGACTCAAAAAGGCAACATTGTGAAGTCTACTGTATATTTTCATTATCGAACCTCCCTGTATTTTCCAGACCATTCTTTACCCAGGATACTTTCCAGGGATGTTGCGAGAGAGGTCATCGTACACCCGCAAACTTCGACCAGCTGGGTACCCAGGGATGTGGGGAGAGGTCGTCGTACACCCGCAAACCCCGCCCAGCTGGGTATGTAGGAATGTGGTGAAAGGTCGCCGTACACCCGCAAACCTCGCCCAGCTGGGTACATTACTTTTTATGGATTCCAAATGTTGACATTCAATCGCCACTCTAGGAGGCTTTCACGTGTAAAGTAAAGTGAATGACCATCTTCCACACCTTTAAGTGTATTAGGCACATAGGGCCTGACCTATATTTTATAGACAAATCGGTACTCGGTGGGTGATGTGGTCAACATGACGCCAACCGTCTTCACTTCCAAGGACTTTACCTGGATGCATTTAAGGCCGGGTCGACCTATTAGAAAACAAAATGTAGCTTCTTCAGGACCCGAACCAACGACCTTCGGATCCCCAGTCGAGCGTCTAACTACTACACCACGGTGGTTCCCGCTCTTAAATGCGGACGCTATAATGTATTCATTACCTGGATACTTTGTCGATCCCCGTGCTCCAGTGTCATCGCAGAGCTTCTGGGATGTCCAGTCACGTGAACCTCTAAATCCTTGATATACTGCGAACTTCCGGTGGGGCTTGAATTTGCAACAAAGAACGGCAAAAGGTTTTAAGGAAGAGTCACTGTCGTATTCTCCACCCAAATTATAAGTATACACAGTGTAAATTAAATAACGTGTGTATGTATGTGTGTGTATGAGTGAGCGAGAGAGAGAGAGAGAGCGAGAGAGAGAGAGAGAGAGAGAGAGAGAGAGAGAGAGAGAGAGAGAGAGAGAGAGAGAGAGAGAGCGATAGAGGATTTAGTTATTAGTAATGACTGTCATGACCGTACTCCGGTCAGATTTAGTGGTAATCCGACGTTCTCCTCGCAAGCCCCACAAGCGTAAAAGGACTGATGACGCCTGTTCTGAGCTGATTAATCAAACGTCTTGATGTTGTTGTTGTTTTTTTTTTAACATATTACGTTCCTGCAGCTCACGGTTGCACCACCCATGTTCACCACCTTTGACACCTTTTGCCGTGTACGTCTTCTCGACAAGTGCTGCACATGGCATTGATGAAGTCGCTTCTGTCCAGTACCTGACCAGCCATAGCAACTACAGTGTCTGCAAGATAATCTGCACATTCGTTGTCCTAAACACCTGCATACTCTAGCACAAAGATGAAGGTTAGGTGAACCTTTCGCGCGAAGTGCTTCGTATTTCAGTCCATTCTTGTCAGATGAACCCACCTGGATCGTCATCGAGTTAGTAAGTATGCACACGAGTGTGACTTCGTGAGTACCAAGCCATGCTAATGCCCTTGTTGCAACCACAGTTTCCATTTGAGGCTACTAGTGTGTGTGTGTGTGAGAGAGAGAGAGAGAGAGAGAGAGAGAGAGAGAGAGAGAGAGAGTTAAATAGCGCTTAGGGAGACTGTGGATTGATGACATATACATTCATCCGGAATGACAATGACCTGTGCTAATAGAAGCTGGTAAAATCAAAAGTAACTAATGTTTGGGTTATAGCTGTTACGTTTTTGTTATATGACTGTTCTAGCAGATAATGTGTGATATAAGATTAGCGTTTACTTTTGAATACACGTCTTATTTTCCTAATATGTCACTTTGCCTGTCTGTATGTGTGTCTGTCCGTCTGTAACAGACTGGGGAAGAAGGTTTTGCTGTTAATAATTTCGGTTTGGCTGCAATTGTGAACTTAAAGTGGCAGGTTTGGAGATTGGAACTTTCTGGAAGTGGCGGTGGGTCGAAAAGTTCATAAAAGGCAGAAAAAATGGCTCTCTTGGCTCTTTGATTTGAGAGTCGGTGGTCGTGAAACGAGAAACATTTAACTCTGACTTTTCGTTGCAGAACAGTACCGGGTTCTTCACGCAACGTGTGTTTAGGGGACTGGGTCGAGAGGTGAATTGCTCACTTGTTTCGTGTACTTTCGGTAGTTAGATTGTGTTAGATCTAGATTTCCATTGTGCCTCCCTGCTCGGAGATTTGTGATTGCAGGTCGCTGGCGGCGAACTCTCATCTTTATTAGCTAGAGTGTTAGCACATGGTCTGTTTGCACACGGTGTTGATTGTTAATGCATTGTTATCTTCTAAACTCATTGTTATCTTCAAAGCACGCTAGTTTTGTGTTTATGAAAATAGACCAATGTTGAATGTGATGATTATATTCCATTTGTTTTATTCAGAATATGGCTTGTAGTCCGTTCACGGAGTCTGCCTAGGCGTTGCCTATGTAGTAGTTGTTGTGTAATTCACTATTCACATATTCATCGCCTGAGTCATGGGTAATCTTTCACAGTTACTGCACCAGAAGAAAGCTGGTCTTTTCTGTACTTTTCTTGTTGTTTTGCAGTCCAGTGGAAACTACATATTAACCTATCTATCTGTCTATCTATCTGTCTGTGTGTCTGTCTGTCTGTCCGTCCGTCCGTCGGTCGGTCGATCTATCTATCTATCCATTCATCCATCCATCCATCTATATCTATCTATCTATCTATCTATCTATCTATCTATCTATCTATCTATCTATCTATCTATCTATCTATCTATCTATCTATCTATCTATCTATCTATCTATATATCTGTGTGTGTATATTTATGTATAATGTGGGTGTATGCAGGTATATGTAGCTGTGTAGGTATGTGGGTGTTTGTGTATTTATAAAAGCATGCAAGTGTGCATGATTGTGTGTGTATGCATGTGGATATATGAAAGTATATTTAGGTATGTTTGTATGTGTGTAAAGATGTGAGTTTAGGTATAAATGTGTGGATATATGTATGCATGTGTGTGGGTGTATGTATTCATGTAAGTGTAAATGTGTGGTTTTGGGCATATGTTGGTGTCTGTACATGTAATGGTATATGTGTGTATGCATGGGTGCATGTATAGATATGTATATATGGAATGCGTGTGTGCATGTATATCCATAAATGTATGTGTGTGCGTTTTCTGTTTGTGCATTTATTTCTGTGTATGTGTATGCTTGTATATGTATGTAGATGCAGGTGTGTATGTATCACGTATGTCTGTATATGAGTTCACCTGTATGAAAATGTAGATGTATGTATACGTGTGTGTGAGTGTGTATGATGGCGTACACACGATATGTGTATGCATTATATATTTCTTTTTAAATCCATAACATGCATTATTGATAACAGGTATTAGTACTCTGAAAAATGAGTACTTTGAGGGGCCGAATGTCAGACGGGCCTGCGTGCCCAATTTGTAACCCTTTGAAAATAAAGTTCGTTCGTTCGTTCGTTCTATCTATCTATCTATCTATCTATCTATCTATCTATCTATCTATCTATCTATCTATCTATCTATCTATCTATCTATCTATCTATCTATCTATCTATCTATCTATCTATCTATCTATCTATCTATCTATCTATCTAATCTATCTATCTATCTATCTATCTATCTATCTATCTATCTATCTATCTATCTATCAATATCTATCTATCTATCTATCTATCTATCTATCTATCCTATCTATCTATCTATCTATCTATCTATCTATCTATCTATCTATCTATCTATCTATCTATCTATCTATCTATCTATCTATCTATCTATCTATCTATCTATCTATCTATCTATCTATCTATCTAATCTATCTGTCTTTTTTTATATCTGCCTGTCTGTCAATCAAACTATTCGTCAGACTGTCTGTATAAAACAAGAAAGCTATCATCAGCAAATGTAATTTCAAAAAAGTTAAACACATATACCCTTTGTTATCGCCTCCGTCGGTTGCCATTGTGAGAGGCTGAATGTCTGTTGGGGATGCAGTGTCCTTTCACAAACCAACATGAAACCCCGCGTACCTCTGGGGAAATATACATTGCAACACATTACTGGAATTGCCTTCGCACTTTTCCTCGTGTGGCTTCCACGGCCTCTTTATTGGCGGGGGAGTAGTAGCCGCTGCCTCCCTAACAAGCGTGTCGTAATTAGGGGTATCCGTCAAAGTCTGAGTGCACCTGCCTGAGAGGAAGACAAAACTCAAGTTCAGGAACAAGACTAAAGTTTAGAAGTGGACAAACACCCAGCATTTTATTAACTCTACCCCGGATTTTACAACGGTAATGGCGTATAAGAAGAATACATCATATGGTAGACAGTAGTTCTCTTTTCTAGGCGCTCCCGACCCTGGTAAATGTGCAGCTTGAGCGCCTGAAGCAGTGACGAACTCTTTAGTGTAACAGATGGTGTGTACAGGGGGAAAAACAGGCAGAGAGGTTCGCTGGTTCTGCACCACTAGGTAGGTAATTCAAGCTGAACAGGGCAGATGTGACGAAGGCTGTTTGAAAGCGAGTTTAAAATATTGAAGAAGGAATAGATCATATGGGACTCGAAAGAATGATGCAGCGAGGAGTGACTAGGAGATCTAGCCAACATTCAACTGGAGAAGCAAGACGAGCGTATAACAGAACTGTTGTGACTCAAGTGAATTTGTAACCCTTTGAAAATAAAGTAAGTAGGTCACCTTCTTCTCCGCGGTCACCGGCTGTAAACTCCGGGGCAAAGTTCTAGTTCGTCTACTTCTGGGCTTTATTCTTGTTTCAGTACTTTAGTTTTGCGTCCACGTCCATTTTACATATTTGGCTTACTTGTACGCAAATGGTGGCCTCTTGCCTCTCAGGCAGATGCAATTTGACTTCAAACGAAAACACTTATTAGCTGACCTTTTCGACATGCTTGTTGGGAAGGCAGTGGGAATATTTGTGTCTCTTCCTTTCCAATAGGACCCCAGAACCTATATATGGGATTCAATAAGTGAATGAATTATTCAACGAATGTTTAAATCTGAACAAGCAAAGTGGCAGAAATACGTATTGCTGACAAATCATAGCCCCCTCCCCCTTCCCCAAAGAATGGAGGTCAGTAAAAGAATTATAGAAAGCCATTTAGAGCCAATTTTAACACATGGCAGTGAATCCGGGACAGTTAACAAACAAACTAAACAATTTCTTGAGACCTCAGAGATGTGGTTTTACAGAAGAATCCTTAGAATTACTTGGTCAACCCAAAAAAAAGAGCAACCCACATGTTTTGAAAGAAATTAGGACCGGAAGCAGCTTATCACAAACATCAGAAAGAGACAGATTATTTTTGGGTCACATTATAAAAAGAAGGAAACTGGAAAATGTTGTGACCGCTGGAAAGGTCTGTTGTAATAGAGACAAAAGAAGACAATGCGAGAAGACTGCGCGAGAGATATGAGGAGAAGATGACAGGAGGAGAGGCATGTGTAGATCGAGACAGGAACTCCGACGGAGAGAATCCGACAGAAACAAAGCCAGATAGAACGAAAGAGACATGAAAACGAGGATGTGTGGAGGCAGAGGGAGAGGCCGATTAATGCAAAGGAACAGTAAGACAATGAGAGAAAAACAAGAGAGAGAGAGAGAGAGAGAGAGAGAGAGAGAGAGAGAGAGAGAGAGAGAGAGAAACATACAGAGAAACAAGTAGAGACCTAACTTAGACAGAGAGATGGACAACAAAGCGGCAGACATAACGAAACTGAACAAGGAAAGGATGGGTTGCGTGGGCGACAAAAAAAATCAGGGAAGTAAGACTGTGAAAAACACACCTGCGACATACAGATCACGAAAAACTGAAAGCTTCTTTTTTCACATCCCACTGCTGACTGCGAATGGCCACTGCCGATATCTAGTGCTCTGCTTCATGTCTGTGAACTGGCTGAAGGCAACACCCAGTAACAACGTTGTCGCTATGACAAAACTAGTCTCGTCGTCTTTGTTGACATGAGCGAGAAAGTTAGGAAAATACATACCAAGCGTGTTATTTAGTGCACATTGTTAATACATATTGGTGTGCAAAATTTTGTTGTGTTAACAAAAAATTTCAATATCTAGGAAGTATATTCTCAGAACAGCATCCTTTCTTGAAAGCTGAAATATTTTGGTCATATCAAGCGAAATGACGGATTGGAAAAAATTATAGTAGAAGGCATGGTACCAGGAAGGAGGGGCAGGGGCCGACCGAAACGAAGATGGGCACAGGATATAAGTGACTCCTTGAGTGTAAAAGTGCATGAGGCGGGAGAACTGGCGAGAGACCGAGTTTCTTTCAGGCAGACCGTGATGAGAGCGGCGTTCTGCAAAGGACCTGCTACATGATGATGTTGATATTCTCCTCAGAAGAATAAGAAGAGAAATTTAAGTTGAGTTTGTTCCCCCTTCCATTTCAGTAATAGTTATTCATGCCCGTCAATTATGTTTTGCTTATTCAATAGTGCATAGCTTGTGTATCAAATGTAGGAATACAGATAGTCGAGTTCAATATATTTAAAGCGTACTTTAAAACAGTTATAGTGTTTAACAGACATCAGAAGGAGACAGTCATCATTGTTTCGGCCATGTTATGAGAAGAGGGAAAATAGAACATGTGATCACTGGAAAGAACTGTGGAAGGAGGGATAGAGAAAGAAAACGAGAGAAGATTCTTGACAGTCTTGTTGCATGGAGGTGTGTCGGCACACGAACTGATACATGCTGCAGGGGATCGCAGATAGGCATGATCGCCCACGCCAGTCGCAAAAGCACCTGACGATGATAATAGTGTTTAGCTTTTATGTGCGGATATTTAAGATGTTCTATACCATTATTCTGTCTTTAGATGTATTAATTAGAAGATATCAAGCAAATATACAGCCTAACTGACATCATCAATGGTGCAGAGTGGATACTCGTGCCTCGTGCGCTTACTTGTACATTTTCCTGCATTGCCATACTCGACGGGCGATGTGGGGAGCAACATCCCTTTGTTGTCAATGCAGAAGTCAACGCTCTCATCAGTAAAAATTCAGACAAGGCAGATGTACTGATCTACACAGACAGTTTGACCCATTACATTTCCCCCGAAGTCGGAGTACATCTGCCCGCGAGGCAGGGAACATCAAAACGGTTGTACACACAAAACTCAGGTCCAGGTAAAAGCCAAAAGTCCAAGCGGACGATTAACCGGGACCTTCCGCCGGAATTCACAGCCGGTGAACGAAGAAGAAGAAGAAGAAGAAGAAGAAGAAGAAAAAGAAGAAGAAGAAGACTCATTACAGAAATCCACAGTTCGTGGAGTCACCTTTATTTTTGTCCCGGGAGACGCGGGCGTCGATGGAAATGAAAGAGCTGAAGGTTGGCTGGATCCACCAACGGTCAACTTATTGATCATTCTGATGTTGATAATGACAGAGTGCAATAAAGATAACCCAACTAACAAGCTAAGATATATGAACACCTCACATGCTATTTCCTGTCCTTGTGATGTACTGTTTAATTCTTCCGTGAAGTTTTCGAAAGCCATCTATTCGCGGCAATTTTCTTTTGACATTGGCTTACGGCAGTGAAGTAATTAAAACCTGGAATTGGAAACAGTTCGGTTTAATTGCGTCTATACATTAGCAAGTTGAGCTGATGTCATGTTATAACGATATCGCTCCACACTGGGAATTAGCTGGCGTGCTCAGGGAGCGAAGTTCTCTGATTGTTTTAGTATCCAGAAGCCATGAGTTGTTAAAACTTAGGCTCGGTATTATGGATATCGCAACCTTTCGGCCTTAATTCCATTGTAAAATCTGGGATAAATGTGGCTTTTCTGCCTACCCCCGGACCACAAGAAGTTCGTCACCCGGTTTCCGCGCATTCCGGTTTAGCCAACTATGCTAGAGAGCCGGGCGTCAGTTCTCCGATTAAGAAGCCATTCTAATAATCCTCCGCTGACTGTCCCCATGAGAAGTCGGCTATAATATCTATATCTTGACCTCTAAGAAGATGGCATTAGACGCTCTTCCCCGATCGGTTACTCTCACCTGTTAGCATCAGAGATTCATTATTACCTGCCAGTCCAGTGTTGATGATATAGGCCCCATCAAAGCTTTTTCCTGTATGCACATGTACTATAAAAACACAGAAAAGTCCATATCTGACAACACTGATTACTTCTTTATTAATCAACTGAACTTCACATCAGAAAAATGTTATTTTACTCTATGGTGTTTAGTTCTAATGATATCTGACCTCTGATCATGTCAAATCATCAAGAATTTCCTAGCTCTTTCTCTTTATTTTCCCTCCTGTTATGTATTTCCAGTGTCAAGTAGGCCTTTCCCTGTGCGGTTCCGGGGCCCTATTGTGGGGAAAACAAGAATAGACCCATTGCCTACCCAAAAGCATGTCGTAAGAGTCAACTAAATGGGAGCTTCCTTCCAAGTAGGATTGCATCTGCCTGAGAGGCAAGGAGCCAACAGTCAGCAAAAAATTAGCCAGATGTGTAAAATGGATGTACACACAACACTTAGGTTCTGGAACAGGACTGCAGTCCAGAAATGGACGAACAACCAGAACTTTTCACCTGTTTACAGCTGGTGAATGCAAAGAAGAAGTGGGCCTTGCTGTTTACTAGTCCACTGATATAAATTCTGGTCTTCTTCGCATTTCAAGTTCAGGTTGTTCACCCACTTCTGGATTTTGGTCTTCTTTGCTCGCCTCTCTGGCAGTACACTCTATCTTCAAAGACTGGTAAAAACGTTCAGATTATAATTTGTTGGCTTCTTCTCCTGTCACTCTGTTCAATAGTCCAGTCAAAATCTATTTTATGTTTAGCTGCAAATTAAGGCTGCCTTTTGATTATTTTGCCATCCTTGGTCACTTGCAGTATTCTTATTCACCCAGTTCATCCATCACGAGTGATGAAGACCACTTTCATCTAAAGCAGTGATGATCAATGATTGTGAGTACGAAGGTGGCTGATTAGTCCAATATGAATGAGCCTGGAAAGTGTTTGAGCAGTGCAAACCGCAGTAGGTGTGGGAATAATACTAATAATAAAACTAGGTGTCATTAATTACTTTGCAATTAATGTCACCTAGTATTATATATATAAAAAACGAAAAGATAATGTATTGATTGGCACTCATAGAAAGACAGAAGGATACACAAGACATCATAACAATTAAAAGCTATAGTAACAGTGCCAGCTTTCTATGAGTGCTAATCAATCCATTACATACTTGGTACAGTAACTACAGCTTTCAATTTTTATGTTGTCTAGTGTGTGTTTCTATCTTTCTACTTCTTTTTATGAGTCCAGATTAATACATTACATGTTTATATATATATATATATATATAAAAATATTTCTACAGCGGCAAGGGTTCCCCCTTTGTTTATTTATGTGTCTTATACAACCAGTTTACTGAATACATTTAATACCAAAATCAAGAAAAATTCCCACAGAATCTTTGAATTCAGCGATGCAGAGTATTAGAAACAACACACGAAACACAAACTAAATACTGTACAAGGGTGTGAAATACAAATAGTCATTTATTCACATAATCATGCACAAAACCAAAATATGATGATGCAGAAAATAATATGTGCAAAACAATGTAACAGGGGACATGGAGAATTTATGAAACACAAATCATATGTCTAGCATGATGAACTTCTTTTAAAACGTAAGCATGGAGCTTTACATCATGTGAAATGTGTAAGAAAATACGAGGGGAAGTCAATAAGTCACCTATGGTTATGAGATGGCAGGAAAAATGAGTTGGTGGTTTCTAAAAGTGTCATTAGGTGACAGCTAGGTGGCATTAGTTTTGCACACACATTCGCAAAACAGAAAGAAAATGGCGACTGTATTTACGGGATAACCCTTAAAAAACAATGTGTTGTTAATAGGAGTTATTATGGGGGGGGGGGGGGCGCTGCCCGCAAAAGGCATTATTAGGAAAAGGCTTCCTGTTTATGCTGAAAAAGGTTTATCCTGTACAGCGGGGCATAGCTGGGTAAAAGAATTCAAAGAAAATATCCAAGCCTGCTGACTAGGAGTACTGCTCCTTCATGAAAATGTCAGACCTCATACGGCTTGGTTAACTCAGGAGAAAATCTAGGGTGTGAATTTCTGAAACATCCATCTTGTAGCCCTGACTTAGCCCCTAGAGATTTCCACTTTTTTTGGTCCAATGAAAACCCACCTTGGCAGGAGACATTTCGTGAATGTTGCAGAAGCTGAATGTAAAGTCAAAATGTGGTTTAGAAAACAGAGCACGCAGTTCTATAGCAGGTTTGGCAGGACTGATCAAATGGCCCCAACCAGAGAAAAACACTGTGCTGTTGTAGAGTTTCTCTGATGTTATCTTTCTCTCCTTTGGTGTATGTTTTGTGTGGTATGGCATCATGAGGCAAATCCCTTGACCTGCTGTCTGTGAAGGTAATTTAGAATTATAATTAAGTTTGATAGTGATTTGGTCACCATCTTTATTTCCCGCAAATCTTTTTGAATTCATTTGGTTAAAAAAAAAATATCACAAATAAAGAACTGAGGAGATGGCCTGGGCATGTTTGCAGAATGACTCATGATAACACTTTAGCAAGGACATCTCTCCCGTGGACAGAAAAAGGAAAAAAAAAAAAGAAGGCATGAAATAGACACCTAAGGAAACGTAGAGACAACAGAAAGCAAAATGAAAGAGTGTAAACTGTATGAGATGTCCTGAGCAGAAAAGCATACTAGTTGCAATGGAGATCAAATGTAAATGCCCTGTATCGACAACACAAAGAGGATATAGACAACATGGTACTAAACAATCAAGCCAAGACAACTTTTTTTTTCAAAATCTACATTGAGGAAGATTTGGGTGCAATATGACTGGTTCAACAAATGATTGCACTACCGCAACTGCCACAAAAGAAAAATATGCATTATAATACAAGAAAATAAATGGTGGTTAAATGACCTTTGAATTCACGCCACAAATTGGAAAAGATATCAGCCATATCAGGTAAAAACACAGATCATGAAGTAATGAACATACATCAAATAATGTAACTACAGACAAAGTACAGAAAAAAAAATTTTGTTAGATGTAACATACTTACCTGCTTCTAAAATGTTGGCGAATTCAGACAGTCAACATAAACATATAAATAAAGTAAACAACACTTCACGTAAATACAAGTTCATAGGAAACTTGTACACAAATCTAGTGGAGGACTGTCTGATTTATTTTCTTTGTGTTCACCAGCTGTCCATTCCCGCAGAAAGTTCTGGCAGTTCGTCCACTACTGGCATTTTGTTCCAGAATGTGAGTACTGCACGTATATCCGTTTTACAGATCTGACTTATTTGTATGCAGACTGTGGACTCCTTGCCCCTCAGGTAGATGCGCTCACACTGAAGGAAGCTCCCAATTACTTTACTTTTACCACGTGCGTGTTAGTCTATTCTTGTTGTCCCCACAATGTGAGTCTTATTTATAAAATGACAGAAAGAAATCCTAAGACCTTTTTTAGCCTACAACTACTACTTCTTTTGTCAATATCTGCGTATGCCGCAGTTCGTTAGACAATCGGCAGTCGAGCAAGGGCGTGCTCAGTCGCTTGATGTTATACAGTCTGAAGGTGTCAGTGACTTCTTTAATCTTTCTTCTTCTGCTTACAAAGACAATTATCTCAAATAAAATGAAGCCCCCCCCCCCCCCCACAAAACGTTCCCCTAAGGTTGTGTGCACCTTGCTGATGGAGGGCAGGCTGCCTTCTCAATTACCCTGAAAGTTATGATGGTGAAGTGTAGCTGCTAGCAGGGCTCCCCAAGCCAGATAGGACAACGGGTATAGGATAGATACACTGATCCCCCTTGTTTGGGGTAGAAGTATGGCAGCAGACAGACCAAACTTCATCAGATAAGTTATTAAAGCCTCAAAATCAGATGGAAACTTGCAGTCACCAACAGGAAAGAGACAACCAATCACAGAGATGAATGGAGGTGGGTGATGCATGCAGCAATGAACTTCAAGAGGTGCAGTTTTCTACACAGGGTTCATGTCCAAGAAACATGAAATGTTGATATGCTGAATGAAATCTGATGTTAAAGAAATAATCAAATGTAATCCCAGGAAACAAAACAGAAGTAAAACTAAACTATTATCTCTTCAATGATCAAAAGAACCAAATATGTAAACATAAGTTTGCTCAAAATAAGACATAAGTAATTAAAACGTAGCATCTTCATATATACTGTAGATATGAGTGATCCCCATAAACTGTTTTACAAAAGCAGACCAAATAATGGACTGTGTCCCTGCTAACACACTGTCTAAAGATAACATCCTGAGTGTGATTCCACATGACTGCTTTGTCCTACACACACCAATTTTATCGAGAATGCTGAACATCATTTCTGACTGAATGAAGAAACTGTAGAAGGTCAATTCTCAACTGCTTAATTTCACATAGAATTTAGCACTACATAGCACTGTCCTGTGGTGCAATGATGTGAAATATGCAAATTAAAATCCTGAAGTACAATGAACTACAGTGTTCTAGTAGTCATCCTAGTAGTTTACAGGGTTGGGGAAAGCACCTTGAGAATTCTCCGACAAGCAGATGAAAGAAACATTTCAAGTTTCAAGCATTGTTTTAAAGAATCACGTTTCTTCTATGTCATGGCCCTCTTTCACTTCCGACAGGTCCACGGCATCATGCAGCACCACATATTCTCTTGTGCTGAAGCCAAACTTGATCACATCTTTCTCTTTGAGTTCATAATATCGACGAGCCTCCATTTTCTCCCCGTTAATGTAAGTTCCATTAGCCGATTCAAGATCTATCAGGTAAGGGCGAACTCTACGCCCAGGGGCACCATCAGAACGTGTGTAAGGCACTGCCCGAAACTGAAGTACTGCTTGCTGCTTGGAACAAGACGGGTGGTCGACGGGAATATCTGCTATTCTGCGGTCACGGCCCAGAAGGAAAGCACTCTGTCTATGAATATGAAGAACCGGCAAGGGTTCATCCCCTTTGAACGGGTAAAGCCGCCATCTTCTTTTCGGCTTCATTGCCTCTGGAGGTTCATTATACTTGATGACAACTCCACGGAATGTGTTTGTGTCTTCGGTTAGCTTACCCGACAGCCCCATGTTGGGCTTTTGTTTTTCCGGTTTGATATCATTTTCTTCCCCACCTTCAGATTTCACTTGAACATCTGTGTTTAAACCAAAATCTCCATCCCTTTCTCGTTCTCTTCGATGTTCTCGTCTTCGATCATTATACTTTGTTCGGTCTTTCTGTTGCCTGCTAAAGTTATCATCATCTTTTTCTTGCTTGATCCTTATGTTTGGATCATATCCTGAACACTGCTGAGCACTGGAATGGTTGCGTCTGGGCCTGTGTGTGTCTCTCTCATCACCGTCAGAATTGTGATGCCGAAAACGCTTTTCCTTTTCCCAATGATGTTTATGTCGATGATCTTCGTCTGAAGGACTGTGACTTCGCTGACGCTTGTGATGTTTCTTCCTCTTATGTTCCCCGTCATCTGATAAGTCTGGGCTATGCTTTCTGTTATGTTTCTGTGGAGGGGAAGGCAACAACTTATTTTACAAATCTCACAATGCAATTTCTTACACACGAAAAATAAACGGTATAATAGCCTGAAAAACAGGGAAAATATAGCCAGAATGTCTTTACACTGGAACCCATAGTAGTTCAGAAATAAAGGTGGAGGAAAAATCATATGGAGAAGGGAGCCATAGTGAAGATAACACAGTGACTACCACCTTATGCGATCCGCCAACGTTTACACCAGCCCACGAAGGTCGCATCACCTGCAATCGTAACTTTGTATGCTCGCCAGCATGTTAATATTGTGATTCTGCAATAATTATAGTTAAAACTGTTACTCCATTCATTTCTCTACTGTTGTTTCAGGGAAACAATTCAATAGTGCTTAAAGTAAATGTTCTACAGATTCTTTTGGTATATTTTCATGTTGGCAGCACATAGATGAATGTTTTGATAATGTTTGCTGATCGTTAGCGCCAGCATGATGGAATAGTTTGGGGAATATTTCTGATGCTATGGGACAGTGTCTTGATATTTTTAAAATCAAAGTGATGGTGAAGATATTTCTGAACAGTTTCATAATGACTGTGACTTTGATCATTCTTATGATACTACCATCAAAAACCGGAAGACGATGTTTCGTTTACACTAGTGGTGTGGCAGTCAGAGGTAAGTTATGTTACATTCAATCAATCAGGTGCCGTCTCCACAATGAAGGTTAGCTGTATCTTCAACAAGCCCTGTCTCTTGCCCTTGATGTACGTCCATCTCTTGGTGTTATCCTCCCACTTGTAACGCTGTCTGCCTATTGCTCGCCTACCTTGAACCTTTTCCTCTAGGATGATCTTTACAATACTGTTATGTCTTTTTATGTGACCAAAATATTTCAATTGTCTCTTTTTTATTTCACCTAGCAACTCTCTTTTCATTCCCAATTTCCTCAGTACCTCTGTATTTAATAGCATTTGTTTCCATGAAATACGACCTAATCTTCTGTATATCCACATCTCCAAAGAATTGATACGATTTTCCAGTTGTTTGTTCATTGTCCATGTCTCTGTGCCATACAGTAAGGTTGAGAATACATAACATGTTACACTAGATTGGGTAAACTGTTTCCTGTGTATGCCTTATTAGATGCATCTGTTAGTGTAGACTGTGTCCATTATGGCTCTGTGACTTAGTTTAATAAAAATTGTTTCACTGTGCAATCCTCGATATTTAGCAGAATGTCTTTTCCACTGTGCGCATTTTAGGAAAACATAATTTTGGGGCATTTTGACAGTTAAGATACTGTATTAGATATTCTTGGTGTGAAATGGCAAACAGCCAATGCGTTTGCAGAATTTTATTTCACAGTTACAGTTAGACTACTGTTTGTTCCAAGATTATGTCAGCTCAAAAAACGACATTAGTTATGTTGGTACAGCCATACGATGTTGATTTATGTACAAGATTAAATAATATCTTATTCTTAAAATTTGTGGTATACAAGTTGGTCTCCATTTCCTTAAGGTTGTTCTTGGTGCCGACATTACATCTTCTTCATGGTGTTTCCCTTCCCTAGCATGGCTCTCTTGGCAGGTTGGTATTACAGCATTCTTGTCAGATGATGTACTCAACTGAATTACTAGTTTCAGGCCTAGTCTTCTAATTTCTTCAATTTTAATTGTATCTCTCCTTGTTACTATGATAGCTCTTTAGCTGTGTGCTCATTAATCTTTAGTTGGTTGTTAAAGTTATTAGAATTTTATTATTAACTGTTGCACCCTGTTTCAAGCATACAGAGTTTATGTTGCTAGTTTCATATTTTCAAAGACTATTTGGTAAGACTGAACAGCCTTAAAAGTCTATGGTTAAGCACCAGCAAAGAGATACAAATTAGAATTCTGAGAGCATGCATCTTCCCTGTGGCTACATACGGATGTGAGTCGTGGACTATCTCTCAGCCCTTAAGAAAAAAAAATAGGGGCTTTTGAGCTGAAAAGCTATAGAAAGATTCTCAGAATATCCTGGACAAAGAAGATGAGAAATATTGACATCCTAAAAGATCTGAACATCAAGGAAGATTTGCTAATAAACAGCATCCTTTCTCGAAAGCTGAAATATTTTGGTCATATCAAGCGCCACGATGGATTGGAACAGATTATAGCAGAAGGCATGGTACCAGGAAGGAGGGGCAGGGGCCAACAGGCTCGAAGATGGGAACAGGACATAAGTGACTCCTTGAGTGTGAAAGTGCATGAGGCGGGAGAACTGGCGAGAGACCGAGTTTCTCTCAGGCAGATTGTGATGAGAGTGACGTTCTGCAAAGGACCTGCTACATGATGATGATGATTTGGTACTTGATAAATAATCTTTCACGTAGCCAAAAAAGAACATTTTTTTTTTTAAACAATCCCTGAGGCATATATGTATACTCAACCCTGCTGTACTGGACAATGAACATGCAACTAGAAAATCTGATTGAATCCGTAAATGCGGATACACAGATGAATAAGTTATATCTGATTAAAAACAAAACAAACAAATACAGAGGTTGCACAGACTATAAATGAGAAGAGTACAGAAAGAAATAAAACAGACAACTGAAATATTTTGGCCAAATTATAAGACATAACAATCTTTAAAAAAAAAACACTGGAGGGAAAGATCGAGTCAAGAGGTAGACAACAGTACAAGTGGGAGGACATGAGATGAACGAATTTATATTCATCAATGAATATTTAGTGTGCATACTTCTTTGTTCATTCGAGGTCGTAACTGCATTATTCCTGTTTACAATATGGCTGCTGACACATTAGACGTCTGCAGGTGTAAGCATTTGTTGCCTGGGTTACCCTTCCCAGGTGTGTAAACATGACTGATTACAAGGATAACATTTTATAAATAGTTCTAATTAGTTATGTTACTTTTTTCTTTCTAATTTCAAAACCAAGGTTCCTGGGAAGTTGCCATATGGCCACGTGCATGATAAGAACATATATTTTATTCTAGCTGTCAAGTGTAGTCTTTAGTTATAACCTTAATTAAGGTTATAACTCAGATACGGGGAAGCTTCCGCGATCAACCAGTTGAAACCAGATCTCTGTAGGCAGAAAGAAATGGTAGTTTCCTTAAGGTTACCTTGGTGAAACAGACAGTGTAGAATGTACTCGAATTTGTGTTTCAGTTTCTAGAAATCAGCTATTTGCTTTATTTTAATCACTTGTTACTGTAGTATGCACCTGACGAAATATACCAGGCATTAAATTGTGCAGTCTATTGTTTGTGTCTTCTTTGTTCAAATTCACATCGGGGAAACATTGCTTTGCTTAATTAGGGTGTCTACTCTCACTACCAAGATAAATAAGGTACTGGCCGACTGGACAAGCATACTGATTCTCTGAAAGATTTTTTTTACTAGCATTTTAATTTTAAAAGTCACCTTTATTTTGTTTTATAAAATCTGAACTTTTATTTATTATTATTATTATTATCGATCACCGGCTGTGAATTCCAGTGGAAGGTCCCGGTTAATCGTCCGCTTGAACTTTTGGCTTTCACCTGGACCTGATTTTTGCATGTACAAATGTTTTTCATTTTCCTGCCTCATGGGCAGCTGTACTCCGACTTCGAAGGAAGACGTCAGGCCTATTTCTAGGTTGACTGTGGCCATTGTTTTGTGTGGGCCGAGACGTTGCCTGATTTGTGTGGTGTCCATTTTGTCTCCTCCGCAGGTGTTGCCCCCGGAGTACCCCTTTGGGGCAGCCCCCTGTGGAACAGTTAGCCCTCAAGGGAAGGCAGGGGCAGATCATGGGCATTCCCCGCCATCCAAGGAGGCTTCCATGCATGCAGAGCCGGCACATGGCGCTCTGGTTCTGGGCTCACCCAAGGAATCGTCACGTCCTGCACATGCCTGCTTAACCTCACAACCGTATCAGGCCTCCCGCTCGACAGGGGCTGCGCCCTCTGGAAGTCAGCGGGGAGCAGCCCGTGGGTTTTGGACTTTTGTGACCACACAGATAGGTACATTCTTTTTTCTTCGCACGTTAGATTTCTTTGACGAGCCGTTAGCCCGACAGAATTTTACATCCTGCATCAGGCATATCGTTATCAGTTTTGTCCCAACACTCGGACGAGTGGGGTCTTTGGGTGTGGACATTCGGTCTTTTTCAGTTCAATACAAATTTTGATGGTCAGATTTTGATCCGTATGATCTAGTTTTGTCGGACAATTAGGATGGTTGCTGTTGTGGTGTACCTCAGCGCGGTGTCGACGACACTGAGGGTTAACCGAGGATGTACATGAATGGCCAGCCTATGGATGGTTGCTGTTGTGGTTTACCTCAGCGCGGTGACGACGACACTGTGGGTTAACCGAGGATGTACAAGGATGGCCAGCCTATGGATGGTTGCTGTTGTGGTGTACCTCAGCGCGGTGACGACGACACTGAGGGTTAACAGAGGATGTGCAGTGAACAATGTTCTCTTTACTCCGCAGTCTTTTAACCAAGGGTTGTAATTTTGGCTGTACGTTTGGCAAACCTACTCATGTTCCTAATGAGTTTTGATAACATTTTTTACCCAAGCGTTTGGGGGCGGGCTGATGAGAGCCACAAGGACACATCACCTCTGGGGGCCGCCTAACTCCGAGATCCCCTGACAGCTCTGTTAATGCTCATTTGAGACATTATCCGTGGCGCACGACGAGGACGTGCTGTAGGGGTCTTACACGAGGTTCCGTACAACCAGGATAGTTAAGGACTGGCGCCCGAGTGACGTACGGAGTATCTCCTTATAAACATCATGTTGGACTTAACTTCCCCTCACGCCTGTGACATAAATCACCGCGCCACCTTTTATTTATAAAACTACCAACATTTAAACACAAAAGGAAAAAACTAGTGCCATACTCAACAATTTTCATTAATAGTGTTAAAAGTTTTCAGGGAAGTTTACTGTATGATGTATGTAACTGTCATTCATTCATAATTGAAATTTAGGCTCTCCTTCGAACTTCGTCCCCATATTATGGCCAAACAAATACCATAACAGGACCTCAGGCGTGTGTAAAATGCAGAGTGCATACCGAGGAACAAATGGCGGCAAAACTAGGATCGCCTCTGAATAACGGGCCAATATTATCGAGGGCAAACAAATGCTTTAACAGGGTCTCAGTGATATGTCAATTGTGGACCTGTTTCTGCGACTATGCCACACCGCGACAATATCCCCCACGCTGCTACGTGCGACGCGGATTGGGGGCTGAACTAGATGGCTAGGGCTCACAAGCAAATAAATTGGAGGATGTTGCAGGAGATGCTGTAGCTGCTGCTCGTGAGTCCCAGCCTTCCAATCCATGCCGTGTGTAGCGGCGCGGGTGTTACGCTCGACAGCGAGTTTAATCAGAAGAACGCTATCGCTAACCTGCATCGGAGCATGTGGTCTCCCCCACCATGTCGCTATTATCGTGTGTATTGTTGCGTTTCTCGAAAGTGTCAGCAGACAGTAATTCTAGTTTTGCCATGATGTGTTCATTGGAGGAAGTCCACATCTGGCTATCCTCCGAACTTCGGGCACTAAAGATGGCAGCCGCAAAATATTCTTTCGAGCCACGGTCACGTGTCAATTCCGCACTTCTGGCAATTTAATTTACGGTTCTCCTGCGGTTTTCAGGCGACTACCGCTACGAGTCCCCCACGCCGCATGAACGGCGTGGATTGGGGCTAAACTAGATGCCTAGGACCCACGAGCAGCAGCTTCCCCATCTCTTGAAACTTTGTGGCAGTAGTCGCCGGAAAACTGCAGGAGAACCATAAATTAAGTCACGTGACTGTGGCTCAAAAAGATATTTTTTGCCGCCATCTTTAGTGCCCGAAGTTAGAAGGATAGCCCCGCATTTTACACACGATTGAGACCCTGTTAGGGTATTTGTTTAACCGCCATAATATGGTAACAAAGTTCAAAGGAGAGCCAAAATTTACACTGACAGATGACTTTCGGTCATGCCGGTGTATTAAGAAATGAACAGATAGAGACTGGCTGGCTCTACACCACTTCGTATGACAAGTCAGATATTGAAAGGGCCCTTTGGGAACAGATCAACAGTGCGGAGGCACAGATGGATCATTACACTATTACAGTCTGAGGAGAATGACACTGACACTGTGAAGAATTAGCAGGGGATCTGGCCGATGCTCAACACTAAGGGAAAGGATGAGACGGATAAACAATCAGACGGTTACTGGCACTATCGGAATCGGAACTCTTCAGTTGCTGCTGTAGGGACTGGGCACTTATGAAAGAGTGCAAAGTGCTGTGATGTCGATTCTTAATTCAACATTCAAAAGACACGGTCAGGATTCAACTAGTTATAGTATAGTCGAAATACATGGTCAGGATTCAACTAGTTATAGTATAGTCGAAATACATTTACTAGCGACTACGGTGTTCGGCAATTTGCGGTCTTTTGGCAATTTCCGTTACCATGGAAACCGTTCGAAACTTGTTTGGGAAATGTCGGCTGGTTTCGGGATGGGTCCCAATCTGTCGTGAAATTTTTCACCAGCTATAAATAGCTGAAAACGGCGGGAGCGAACCCGATTAACAGCGGCATGTCTGCGACAGCCGGACGTCCTCTGTTTTTCTGTTACATCAGTTTTATTAAAAATAGCGCTAAGTATTCAACGTTGGCTTTAGGCTTCAACATTAATCATACTGGTAATGCTGGTTATAATTGAATTCTCCGTCCAATTTTACATTTGTATATAAAATTTCTTTCTTATCAGTGGCTTTTTAGATTTACAGTGAAATTTTTCAGGCAATCGCTATTATGTGGCTGTATCTCATTGTCTGCCATCTTGTCCAATGCAAATAAAGCCAAAACGATAAGTGCAGAGAAAACTTCTTGTTTCACAGAGGCAAGTTTTCAACATCTCATCTCATCACAAAAACCTACATATCTCAGCTCAGAAATGACATACAAGCCTAAATGAGGTATCATTGGAAAGAGATTTTTTACAGCTATCTAAATATGCTGGTTTTATTGGTGTAGAGGGCATTTTAAAAATTTGACTAAAGTATCTAGTATCTACATTTACTTACTAGCACAGTGAGTCATAAAGACTAAATCACAGCATTGTATTTCAGTTTTACAAACTGATGATAATGATATAATTACGAGGTGCTAGCGTTTCTGTTAAAAAACCAAAATGTGTCGTCAACAAACTAAGAAATAAAATCTGAATCAGAATACTGTCAATAGTTCAATACAAATTAAATGACTGACAGTCAATGACTCAATCCCCAGAAGTAGAAGTAGAGAAGTCAAGATTTGTTTACTTTCTATTTTATCAACATGGTCAGGTGTCATAATTTATTCTTTAACGACCTGAAACTTCTTTGTAGTCTTTAAAACCCACAAGTGAAAGTTTAAATAAGTATTAGACCGAAAAGATCAACAACTTTACTTACCATGGTAAAGAAATGTTTCCTTTCCCTAAAGTTTCCGTCGACAAGCTTTCGACTGGAGAAACACTTCCGGCGTAACACCGGATGTTGGCTTTTTTTTTTTTTCTGGTCGTTCTGTCAACGAAATAATAAAAATGTTAGTTAGGTTTTCATCATTGCACTCCAGACATTGTTATGTTATGTTATCACAACCACCGACGTCTTTGAATTTTGGGCATCCCCATGCGTGCTCAGTCCTCCAATGCAGCAGCCACTCCTAGGTACCTCTACTTATTGTTCCCATGAGGAGTTATAGTATCTCCTGTCTTAACCTCTAAGACGGCATAGTCGTGTTTTACCAAACTCAACTTCTCGGTCACGAAGTCGTGTTAGCGTCAGAGATTTGCCATTATCTCCCAACTTAATCCGTACGGCGTTGATGATATCAACTCCGTTCATGCTTTTTTCCCATTTGCATTGGTGCATTTCTTGCCAGCTGGTCAGCTCTTTCATTACCATTTACTCCTGCGTGCCCAGGTGTGTAGATCCAGATGATGGAGGTTAACTGTGACTTCCAAATGCTGTCTACCCATTCGGAGCGGAGACTACCTGTAACGATTTTCTGAAGCGTGTTCATAGAGTCTGAAACAATTACCGCATGTGTGGCCGCTTGTTCTGCTACCCACGCGAGTGCTCTGGCAGCAGCAGCCACGTCCGGCTGTATATATATATAAATCTGGAGCTGGCCGTGCTTGACGTAGTCGTCTGGTGAGCGCCGCTATCCTCTTTTATTGTTTTTCCCGTCCTTTGTGCTGTGTATGCCCATGCTGATCTTGTCCCGCGTAGGTGCTCAGATCCTACCTTCAGTATGAACCACAGCGTCCGGTGGCTACTAATAGTACCAGTTCTGTGTTAATTAACAAGTCCTCTAGTGTGCTTCTCGTTTTTTGCTATTTTGATCTTAACTCCCAAGTCTATCATTCTGGCGAGTAATGTCGATTCACTGCCCCCCCCCCTCCCACCACAGGTCCTCTTCCCTTCACATTACTCGGAAGGCTTAATAATAGCAGCATGATCCATAGGTTGACCGTCAGCAGTGATAGCGAATCCGGTCAACCTATCAGCTCTTTCATTTCCATCAAAGCCCGCTTGTCCCGGCACGAAAACAAAGGTGACTCCACGCACAGTTGACTTCTGAATTGATTTAAGCCATTGCCTTCGCACCGAATCTTTTTCTTCTTCTTCGATCCTTCTGTCAGAAAACTTATATCAGGAGGCCGGTAGCCTTTATGAAAGCTATCGTGCAATCCATATCCTCTCGTGTACCATACAGTTTTGTCTTCAGTGTGGTTGGAACAGGCCAGATTGCGTCTCTGTTGTCAGCAGACAGTTGACAGTGTTGGAGCACATGCTCAGCATTTTCGGGTGCCACGCTGCAGGGACACGTCTCCGTATTTCCTACACATAAAAATTTGAACATATGTTGACGAAATCTGTTGTGCCCTGTCCTTAGTCTGAATATAAAACACTGTCCCTCTCTAGAGAGGCGATGAAGTGAGTCTTGGGGAGAAAATCTGGTGTGGGTATCCAGCCACCTTTCTTGGATACTCGATTGTATTAGTGTTTTCATCTCTTGGTGGGTAAAGTCGCTATTTGGTTGTACCATGTCACTGCCGCTTCTGGCCAATCTGTCCGCTATTTCATTGCCTTCCAATCCACATTGACCTGGAATCCACTGCAGTGCAGAATGTTCTACTGAAGAGCCTAAGTAAATCAGCTTTTGCGTCAAGTCTACAAACTGAGTGTCTTTTGGGTTAACAATTGCTTGTAGAACTGACATAGCATCAGTCAGAAAGACCACTCTGCTATATTTGCTGTGCTGTTGTCCATTCAGGAAAGAACATGCCGCTAGAAGTGCTTCTGCCTCTGCTCTGTAATTGGAGGAATATGAACCTGTTGGTACAGCCTGGTTGATTTGTAAACCATTTGGGCATTCTATGTATATTCCTCCTCCTCCGTCTCTTACTGCTCTCTTGGCTGATCCATCTGTATACACTCGAATCCAACTCTGGTGTGGGAAAAGTCTATTGATCTCTCCTTCTGTAGTTGATTTCATATCAGTGCTGCTCATTGATGATTTGGAGGAGACCCCTGTTACAGTGGTTCTGACTGTTGGTAGGCTATCCCTAAGCCAAGCGGGGCAGTCGTTGTAAGGTTTAAGTGGAACATTTGGTATTATGGGAAGGAGTTTAAGGACAGCGGGCTTGGCATTTGCGTTCTTAATAAAACGGGTTCTCTTTAGTCTAGCCTTCTGGGGTTTCTGCAGTCGGCTGTACAAGGGTTGTTCTTGAAAGTGGTGGTATTTGGAGAGCTGGGTGAGGAGCTTTGTGTCTCTCCTATCTTCCAGATTATGGAGACCAGTAATTGTTTCCATATCTGATATGGGCGTGGTGCGCATTGCCCCTGTCATAATACGGAGAGCATGGTTTTGGATCTTTGAGACTTTCTGAAAATTTGATTTAGCTGCTGTGCCCCAAGCTGCTATTCCATATTCTAATGTTGGCCTCACATAGCCTGTATAGGTCCTCTTAAGGACATTGAGGTTTGCCCCCCCCCCCCAGTCTATAAATTAAATATTATATGCATGCAGTCGTGGGACCTATGCTGCACTCTCTCTTATAACGTAGGCTGCACTCTCTCGTGTGACGTAGGCTGCACTCTCTAGTGTGACGTAGCTGCACTCTCTCATGTGACGTAGGCGGCACTCTCTCGTGTGACCTAGGCTGCACTCTCCTGTGTGACGTAGGCTGCACTCTCTCGTATGACGTAGGCTGCACTCTCGTGTGACCTAGGTTGCACTCTCTCGTTTGACGTAGGCGGCACTCTCTCGTGTGACGTAGGCGGCACTCTCTCGTGTGACGTAGGCTGCACTCTCTCGTGTGACCTAGGCTGCACTCTCTCGTGTGACGTAGGCTGCATTCTCTCGTGTGACGTAGGCTGCATTCTTTCGTGGGGCCTAGGCTGCACTCTCTCGTGGGACCTAGGCTGCACCCCCTCGTGGGACGTAGGGGGATTGGTGTCAGGGCCAGTTCTGCATGTTTTGGATCCGTATCATCTTGGTGCCAGATTATGCGGGTGTGTAAGGGAACGAGTGGGCAGACTATCTTGCTGACACTGCAGTTACTAAGGCTGGCCAAGTAATGGACAGAAGTGATGTTATAAATACCATGCGCTGCACTTACCGTACTGAGGAGCACGCCAAAAGACTTAACTCCATATTTCTGTCTAGACTGATGGACATGATGGTGCAGACTGGAGCTGCAAGAAATGAATATTTCACTAAGGGGACAAGACGTTTCATTAACCAACACAGAATAGGCGTCATCAGTCGACGTGGAGCTTTTGAGGAGGAGATCGGAGCAGCTATGGATCTGTCCGGAGTGCTGTGATGATAATCCTTTCTAATCACTATTAACTAATGTTACTGCATACTTTAATTAATAATTGTATACGACCACATCTCGTCGGCTTCGAGATTTCGTAGGAAATTTCCAGTGATCCCTAGGGGTTTCCCTGGACAGTACCATATTATGAGGAAAGGGGGGGGGGGTGCGGTTACCGCTAGGGCTAGTGTTAAATGAATAGCGACTATTACTAAGCCTAACCCCTCCCCCCCCCCTCCCGACTACTATGTGGTTGTATAGAAGTAAAGTAAATGTGATTTTTCAAAGAGAACCATGTCACTGATGCCTTCGATTGATTGACGTAGGCATTGGAATCATCACACCAGACAGCAATTCAATAAAACATAATAAAAATGTACAAACAAAAATATATAAGTCATTTTTGCAGAATAAAAAATGCAATGAAGTACTGCACTTCTGTTAAAAATGTGTCTTTCAAGATTAGTGCTGTGGCTTATTGACACATGCACAACTGGGTTTGAATGTTGAATTAAGAATCAACATTATGGCACTCGGGACACTCCCCTGGTAACTCCTCGTACAGTAAGGATTTATCTGTGCCTCCGCACAGTTCACTAGCCCCTAAGGGCCCTCACAACATTTAGCTTGTCACACATCAATTCACTAACAAGTGGTGCATAACCAGCCAGTCTAACTGCCAGCTCATTTCCTAACACACTGGCATAACCTGGAGAAAATATTCAAAGGACGCCAAATACCCGGGACTTCTGAAGTGACGCTAGCCACTCTACCTGACGCATGCCTGTCTCTACCTTTCTCAACATGCTATGTGAATCAGTTACAATCGCTGCATGTGTGTAAGAAATGATCACTTGAACTGTGACTGAGAAGCTACAAGAAAAAAAAAAGGGGTATTTGGGGGAGGGGGTGGGTGTGGGAAAGGGGTGGGGGATACCTTCTTATTGTAACTTCGGAGGCGTTTGTCATTGAGAATTAAACCAACATTAGGGAAGGTAAGGTAGCAACAACAATGAGCAGACTAACAAAATGAGTTGGGGGGGGGGGGGGGACCCTTGTCTGTCATGCATGTGTACTCAGCACTGTTCTTTACGGCAGTGAAACTTGGTTGACTCAGTTTACGAAGGAGTAAATAGATGTGTGAGATACTTAGGAAGAATGCTTGGACTTAAATGTGAGACACTTGGGAAGGATAGTTTGAATTAAATGGCAAGACAAACTCACGAACACTAAAGTATTGGGTAGCAAAGGCACCAAAACAGTTTTCTCTTAGAAAGCTCAGATTATTATTACACCTGGTCTCCAAGGACATTCTTTATCATAAATTACAGATTAGTATATTATGTCAAGATGGGCCTTTACTACGATATAGAGATGCGAACAAGCAGGACGTGAATGGTACAGGTGGTAAGGGAGATTCGTGGGAACAGGAAGCCGTACCCATATGCTGGTTTCCATGGAAAAACAAAGGGTTGGGGGCTCAGGAAGGGAAGTAAGATGAAGTAGAAAAATGACGGATGAGCATCTGAGAAGATGCATGTAGAATAATGGTCCTTCTTCTTCCTTCACCAACTGTAAGCTCCA